CTCGGGATTCATCTGAACACTAGATGAACAGAACCACTAAAACCAAGGCTTCAAAGACGAGGCCACGTGGAGGCTGGTAGGAGGGCAGAGACGGGAGGGGAGGCAAGCTGACTCCAGGCCCACAGAGAGGGGGCGCATGCCAGAAGGGACGCCTCAGTGGTAGAGGTCCCCCCTGAAGAGAGAGGGCCCCCCCACTAGGCCCCCCAGCCCTGGGGTCCTGTGCCGGGAAGGGGAGTTCCACGGTAGCTGGTAGTGGAACTCAGGAGGACTCTGTGCCTGTCCGGTGGGCGGGGGGCGGGCAGCAGCTCAGCCGCCCTCTGTGGAGCCCCACACGGACTCGCTCGCTGGGGAGCGCTCCCCTGGTCTCCGGTGGAGGGAGCAACAGCCCTGGGCCCCAGGAGCCTGCGGGAAGGACTGAACTGAGCGCCTTTGGCGCAGCAGCTGGAGAAGCTGGGGCCACGGGACCCCTGCGCGGAGCCTGCACGCGTGTGGGTTACAGGAGAGCACCGTCTTCTCAGGGTAAAAGCCCTCCCCCCCAAAGGGCCAGGTCTGAGGCCGCACTGGTCGGGTGGAGCCTGCCGGGCACCGCCTGTGATGGTGGGTCCCTGCCCTCCGCTCCGGGGGTGCTCAGTGGCCCGGATACTCTCCTGCTGGTGGCTGGCTCCGCCCCCACAGGCTGCCTGCAGGCTAAAGTGGGCGGAGAGCGGTTTTTTTCTTTTTCTCTTTTTTTCTTTCCCCTTTTTCCTTTTCTTTTTTCTGTTTTCTTTTTGTTGTTTCTCTTGTTTGATTCATTATTGTTTTTGGTTATTGTTTTGTTTTGTTTTGGGGATTGTTTTGTATTTTTGTTTGTCTTGTCTGTTTGTTGTTTTGTGTATGGGTGTATTTGGTTTTTGTTGGTGGTGGTTTGTTTTGTTTTGGGAGGTGGGTCCAGGAGCTGAGACTACACTGAATTTGTAGAAACCACTGACCACACCTTTTAGACCCCTGCAACACCACCCTGCCCACCTACATCTGTAATGCCAGGGGCACTCTGGGCACCAGGGTGACCGGCCCCCACAAACTGCGGAGAAGGGTTTTTACAACAGTGGACGGTCTGCAGCACCCTGGGGAGATCTTGGTGGTGATCAGTGACCCCTAACCTGCATCGCAGCCACTTGGGAGCAGCTCTCAGGAATCTGTGACCCTGAGGTGGAGGCTGGCGGCAGGGCCCTCGGGGCCCTGTGCTAAGTGGTCACGGGCTGAAAACTGGCATACAAACTGAAGCTGCATTAATGCTGTAAAAACCATGGGTCACATTTCATGACTGCCTTGAATTCCACTCCACCCACTACATCGCCAAGGGCACCCTCAACACCAGGTCAACTAGCCTGGCCCGTGCACCTCAGGAGCCTCTTTCCACAGCTGGGCTTGTGGGAAGCTGACAGGTGGCAGCAGGCCTGGGGGGCCCTGGGCCTTTTGCTAGGCTGCCTCAGGCCCAGTATTGGTGGCAGCTGGCCTCAGTTCACAGTGAGGTCACCCCCACACACCTCCAGGTCCAGCAAAAGCAGCAGCCAACCACATACAGCACTGAGGCTCCTACCAGGTAGCCACAGGCCAGTAACAGGCAGGGCTGAAACTGCCCTACAAGAGGGCTCCACCCAAGAGACACCAGAAACAACACACCCAGAGGCCAGCTTCAGACCACACCAGAGCACTTCCTGGTTAGCCTTACAAGCAGCACACCCACAAAGGGGGTCTCAACAGGCACACAGCCTGTGAAGGCGAAGCCTCTTCCAAGGGCTCAGCCCACACACAGCAGCTCGTACACTGTGGGCACTGCCAAGCCTCACAGCTGCTCAGCCTGGGAATCAATCCCACCCACTGACAAGCCAAAAGTAATCAAGGCTCAACTACAAAAGCTTTCCCCTTAAGATCAGGAACAAGACAAGGCTGCCCACTTTCACCACTTTTATTCAACATAGTAGTGGACGTTCTAGCCACAGCAATCAGACAAGAAAAAGAAATAAAATGTATCCAAATTGGAAAGGAGGAAGTAAAATTGTCACTGTTTGCAGATGACGTGATACTCTATAGCGAGAACCCCAAAGAGTCCACCAAAAAACTATTAGAACTGATAAATGAATGTAGTAAAGTAGCAGGATACAAAATTAATATTCAGAAATCAGTTGCATTTGTATACGCCAATAACAAACTATTAATATCAGAAAGAGAAATTAAGAAAACAATCCCATTTACAACTGCCTCAAAAATAATAAAATACTTTGGAATAAATTTAACCGAGGACGTAAAAGACCTATACTCAGAATATTATAAGACATTGAAAAGACAAATTAAGACACAAATAAATGCTCATGGATATGAAAAATTAATAATTAAAATGTCCATACTACCTAATATATAAATTAAGCACAATCCCTATCAAATTACAAATGACATTTTTCACAGAACTAGAAAAAATATTTCTAAAATTTATATGGAACCATAAAAGATCCCGAATAGCCATGGCAATCTTGAGAAATAGGAACAAAGTGGGAGGTATTATACTACCCGACATCAAATCATACCACAAGACTATAGTAATCAAAACAGCATGGTACTGGCATAAAAACAGACACATAGACCAATGGAACAGAACAGAGAGCCCAGGAATAAATCCATGCCTATATGGTCATTTAGTCTATGACATGGAAGCAAAAATTTACATTGAGGTAAAGACAGTCTATTTAATAAATGGTGCAGGGAAAACTGGACTACCTTCTTATGCCATATAGAAAAATAAATTCAAAATGAATTAAAGACTTAAATCTAAGACCTGAAACCATAAAACTCCTAGAAGAAAATACAGGAAGTAAATTTGCAGACATTACCCTTAGTAATATTTTTACTGATACATCCCCTTGGGCAAGAGAAACAGAAGAAAAAATAAGCATGTGGGACCACATCAAACTAAAAAGTTTTTTCAGGGCCGGCCAGGGCGCAGCTGGTTAGAGCTGGAACAGGGTCGCCAGTTCGATTCCCACATGGGCCAGTGAGCTGTGCCGGAGCGGAGCTGCCGCTGAGATGGTGAGAGTGCGTGCTCTTAGCAGCAAGGTTTCTGGTTCGACTCCTGCAGGGGATGGTGGACTACACCCACCTGCAACTAAGATTGAAAGCGGCAACTGGACTTGGAGCTGAACTTGCGCCCTCCACAACTAAAATCGAAGGACAACATCTTGACCTGGAGCTGACGGGTCCTGAAAAAACACAATGTTCCCCTTCCCCAATTTCCCAACACTGTTCTCTTCCCCAATTCTCCAATAAAATCTTTAATAATAATAATAATAATAATAAATAAAAAGGTTTTTTCACAGCAAAGGAAACCATCAATAAAACAAAAAGGTATCCTACCAAGTGGGAGAAGATACTCGCCAATGATACATCTGATAAGGAGGTAATGTCCAAAATCTATAAGAAACTCATGCAACTCAACACCAAAAAACAAACAACCCAATTAAAAAATGGGCAGAGGACATGAAGAGGCATTTCTCTAAAGAGGACAACAGATGAGCCAATAGGCATATGAAAACATGCTCAATGTCACTAATCATTAGTGAAATGCAAATAAAAACCACATCGAGATACCACTTCACTCCTGTCAGAATGGCTATCATCAATAAATCAACAAACAAGCGCTGTCGAGTATGTGGAGAAAAGGGAACCCTGGTGCACTGTCGGTGGGACTGCAGATTGGTGCAGCCACCATGGAAATCAGTATGGAAGGACCTCAAAATACTGAAAATGGAACTGCGTTATGGCCCAGCAATTCCACTCCTGGGTAGGAGTGGATAGATATATCCAAAGAAATCCAAAACACTAATTCGAAAAAATACATACACCTCTATGTTTACTGCAGCGTTATTCACAATAGTCAAAATTTGGAAACAACCAAAACGCCCATCGGTAGACGACTGGATAAAGAAGATATGGTACATTTATACAATGGCGTATTACTCAGCCATAAAAAAGAAAGAAATCTTACTATTTGCAACAACATGAATGGACCTTGAGAATATTACGCTCAGTGAAATAAGTCACACTGAGAAAGACAAATACCATGAGATCTCACTCATATGTGGAATCTAAAGAACAGAATAAATGAGCAAACTAAACAGAAATAGATTCAGAGATACAGAGAAAAAACTGATGGTTGCTAGATGGGATGGAGACAGGATGGGGGAAAGGTGAAGGGATTAGAAAGTGCAAATTAGTAATCACAACATAGCCATGGGGATGTGAAATACAGTGTGGGGAATATAATCAATAATGTTGTAAAATACAGTGTGGGGAATATAATCAATAATGTTGTAAAATCAATAATGGTGCCAGATGGGTTCTGGACTTATCAGGGGGTCAGTTCATGGACAGTGTAGATGCCTGGCCACTGCGCTGTACACCTGAAGCTGAAGTAGAATAACATTGTATGTCAACTATAATAAAATACACACACACACACACACACACACACACACACACATATTTTTTCCACAGGATGTGGAGTATAGCATAAGGAAAACAGTCAGTGGTATTGTAACAGCTATAGAAGATGTCAGAGGGGTTGTACCTTGGGAGGGGGGTTATCACTTTGTGAGGAGTGTAAATGTCTATTATATTGCTTTGTATACCTGAATCTAATTTTTTTTTAATTGAAAGAAAAAAAATAATAAAAAAGCATTTGAAAGAAAGAAAAAAGCATGTTTTCTAAAGCTCAGATACCATCCACTGAGGCACAGGCCTGCTGAGTCCTCTTCCTTATGGAGCTGGAAGCTAATAAAGATTTGCTTAAACTTAACGAAATGGAATTGAACTGCAGGAGCTCATGACTGACGCTGAATGCTGTAACCCAGTCGGCTGGGGCCTCCACGGCGAGGTGACAAGCATCACGCGCCTCAGGCGCCCTGCGAGCTCCAGCTGTGCAGACGAGGTGGAAACCCTGGGCCCTCCACTCTGCAGGGCACACTCACCTTCAAGAGCATCCACGAGACGCAGGTGAACGGGGTGCTCACCTCCAGGAGCAACGTGGTCATGGCCAGATAGTGGCCGGCTTTGACATTGGCCACGGAGCCCAGAAACCCCAGGAAGGCAAACAGATGATGCAGCACTAAAAACCAGTCCCACGTCCAGAAGAAGAAGTTGGACAGGTGAACCGCTACATTCTCCAACAAAAAGAAGCCCGTTGCCGTAGCGATGTGGAACCAGCACCAGTTCTGCTGGCCACACGCCCTGTCGGCGTGCAGGACGGGGTCCACCAGCAGCGCCCACAGGCCCGCCGCGGTGCTCTGCACACCAAAGACAGCGCGGGTGGCCGCCAGGTCCCAGAAGACCTTCTCTTTGGCCACCAGAGAACGGTAGGTGGCGTTCAAGGAGGACGACAGCTGGTGGCAGACCACAAAGACGCCCAGGTAGAAGACAAAGCCAGCGACCACCAGCGTCGAGCGGATCTGCCAGGAAGCGTAGTCCAGGTCGAAAATGCTCTCTGATGTCCCTCTATCACTTTCAAGACTCATTGTCCCAAATTTTATATCGAAGGTGTCCCGCGGCCAACACAGGGCTTGGGGGCCCCACACTGCTCTCGTCCAAGAAAACAAAGTCGGTGTGACCGTCTCTAGGATCTTCGTGTGTCCGGCTTCAATCTGAAGAAAGAAAAGATAATTCACTTTGTGTTGACTAAACTGAAGCTAGGACACAACACGACTCCAGGGCCACAAAAACATTATAACAGAAAATATTTTAAAAGTCATTTACCTTATTCTTATGCATAGTTGAAGATACATAAACAAGGCAAGAAACATCCACTGGCCGTATAGGAGAGAGAAAGTAAAACGAAAGATGGAGCCGGGCAGCCACGCGCAGGACGCGCGAGGGCTGTAGCCGGCAGCCCGAGAGCCCGCCCTCCTGTAGGGCAGTCTGTCAGTCACACAAGTCAGATTCCTAGGAAGAAACACCTTCAGCTAATTACACTGGAGTTACTGTGGTAAAGCCTTTTACTTCTAGAACCCGAGACAAGAACACGGTCCCGGCGCTCCAGTGTGCGTGGCGAAGCTCTTTGCCAACGGCACCACATTTCAACCACAGTGCAAGGGACAGACGCCGGCAGGCACCCCTGGGTCCAAGTGGCCTTGGACGTCCCGAGGTTGTTTCCTCAGGCTGTGAGCACAGCATGCATGCACAGGGCCTAAACAAGGTCTGGCACACAGTAGGTATTCACGTGGCTTAGTATTAGGAACATCATCACATATCGCCATTCAGCTGTCCTCATGAATAGCAGACAAGTCACAGTCGTCTGTTAACCTGCAAACAGTGTGGCATCTGTCCTCAGCATCGCGTCTTCGAGCAGCACACTGATTAGATCCGCGAGTGCGAGGCCATGCCCCGTGCCCACCTCCGCACAGGACAGACACCACGAAGGACCCACTGCGCGTCCGCCCTCCGCAGCCCTACTGCTCTCGCCAGCCTGCACTGCGCCTACCAGAGGAGGCCCACTCCGCCCCTGGCCTTCTCCAGCTCTCCGATTCAAGGTGGCAGTTCTAATTCGAACCATGAAAACAATCCCCTAAACCAGGGGTTGGCAAACTTTTGAGACGGAAGAGCCTCACAACAATTTAAAAGTTATTCGAGAGCCATAAAACAAATCAAATCACCATTATGTGAATACTATCCTTTAAAAATTTTATAAGTGAAACTATGATCGTTTTATTTTCATTCTCAATTTTACTTCAGAGTCACATGTGGCTTGCGAGCGCAGTTTGCCGACCCCTGCCCTAAACTCGGTACATAAAGGATGACGTAAGCCAAGGCCCACAGATGAAGTGCTCGGTCCCGGGTTTCACAGCCTCACTTTCTCCTGCGACAGTGGTCGCCTGCAGGCTGGGAGAGCACTCTGAACGTATTTACCTATTCATGAAATCAGTTCAATTAAAATAAGTCAGTCACCTCTCCACACAATGTAAAACAAAGGTTCATTCTTCCATCGCCCTGTTTGGATTTCTCTAGTCACAGCCAATCCGCTTCTTACTCTAACTTACTTAGGTCCAATCAAACTTGGAGACCACATGAACTAGGCTTCCAGCTTTATTCCAACGTACAGTGCACGTGACCTTCTGCCCCACGTGGGTCACCCTGTTTGCTTTATCCCAGCCAGCACAGGGCATGCAGTGTGGTCACCACTCCGGAAAGCCATGGCAATCTGCGCTCCCTGCTGCTCTTCGTGTTTCCCTGGGAAAGGTGAACTTGGGGCTCCCCACCCCATGTCACTCTGGGCTAACTGAACCTTCCAGCCCTATCTTGCTGGGCCCTCTACCCAGAAGAGTGCTCACTCACCCTTGCCCTCCCCGACCCCTCCCACCCCGCAGGTCCTGGCTTCAATGTCACTTGGTCCAGAAGCCCTCCCAGACCCGGGAGGGGCCTTGGCTGAAAGCTCCTAATGCACCCTGCGTCTCCGTTACAGTGTCTAAAATGCATGCTAACTGCTCAGGGAAGCCGACGTCCACTACGCAAGCAGCAGCTCTCTGAGGACCTGCCCACTGCCCTACCCCGCCTGACCCTGCAGGAAGCACTGGGACGATGCGTGAACAGACTTCAGAATGCTCCGGCGCTCACATCTGTGTAAGCCTGGACTCGTTTTGCTTGTCAAAGTGCAAAACCCGTCCCGTGGTTCCGAATCTGAAGGGACCTCTGGGCCTGTGCTGCAGCCTTGAACCTCTCAGGTGGGAACCTAGGGCAGAGCGGGCACCGGAGCCCGTCCTAGCAAAGCCCCGTCAGCAGCCAGCCTTCAACTCCCCACTGGGTCCTTCCCCCACCAACGCCTCCAACAGGCCACACCATGCAGGGGCTTTCCTCAGAGGAAGGACCCTTGTCACCCACACCCGGTGGCCATAGAGCAGGACTGCAGAGGGCTCGAGCTGCACCGCTAAAGCGCTCTGTCCTTTGGGGCGTCACACACCTAACTGAACCACGAGGCCACAAGACTGGAGCCTGGAGCAGCGAAAACCAGAAAACTTGTGATTCAGCTGAAAGTCCCCACGATTTCTCTGCAGACACCAAAACACCAGCTCATTTCACACAAACCACAAGGAACCATCTCTCCAACTACAGGAATCCGGGGGTTTGACTGGTCACGCGATCAAAGGCCACAGCACACAGGTGTTCGCTCCTGCGTCTCAGCCAACACTTGTTGTGTGAAGATGACCGTGCTCCCCCGCCATGGTGCTGCGGCTCCTGCCTGTTGCCCCCGAGCTGCTTCTGCCCACAGGGGGGCTCTGTCATAGAGGACACGGATGGTGAGGAGGCTCTGTGACCATGACGTGGCGTGCTCTCTGTTTGTGTCCTGCCAGGACTCCAGCTTACTCACACATCTCGAAACGCACTTCACAGTCAATACACACACATCAAGTTTAACACACGTTAAGAGGCTGAGAAGAGCACTTGGCTCTGGGATCGGTGAGTGTAATTTTTTTCCTGCATGTTATGTCTTAACATCCTAAGCCCTTCCTAGCTGGGGAGAGACTGCCCCTCCCAGCCGGCCACTCCTTAGGGACAGCGAAGGGTCCATCTGCGGGCACACCTGGGCCTGCCATCCACCATCCAGAGCCAGCCCCGCCACCTCCCCTGCGGGAATCACCCAGGGCCAGCTGCCAGCAACCAGGGACACCCCCTACCCACACAGCCCTAAACCAACGAACTATTCAAATCAGCCAGGCCTGAGTGTGCCCCCCAGGCCTTCCCGGGGGAGCCCAGTGCAGGCCGTGCCTGATTCTCCCCCACCCCCGTCTTCTCTCTCCCGAACCCCGGTGCATCCATGTGGTCTGGTGTGGCCCTGAGTCTAGGCCCTGGACGTGGAATAAACTGTGTCCTGAGCCTCTCCTGTGTCTCCCTGTGGCCGCAGCTCACTGACCGGCTCATAAAGGAACACAGA